TGTGAGTCATGTTAAACTGCTTAATGTTTGGACAAATTCCCCTGTCCTTCCTGTGTGTTGAAGACAAAAATTAAAAAGGAAATTGAAAAAACTGAGCTAGATAAATCCCAAAATTGCCTTGGTTTAGAGTACCTGTTTGCATGCGTGTGGTGGCAGTAAACACGCAGTGATGTGGTCATTGGAGGAAACTAAGAGTTCCGGAACGCCTGAGGAATGAGATCATTCAAATTAAAGCGTGTGGCAATTACCAAATGTGGTAACAGGCTACTCTGCAGTGCAAGTGCAGGAGCCCAGGCCGCCTGACAATGAAGCAGACACAAAGTAATTGTGGTGGAACTACTTAACAACCTACAGGTGATTTTTGATGTAAACAAACATGACTTTCACTCTCTTCAACACAAACAGGATCTATATATTTTTAAGCAAACACCACTTCAATATTCATATGCACGCACACACACACACAAACCAGCTACATTTGAAAGCGATTTACCAGCGATTTACCAGATGCATGGAAAGAACCTTTAATCCACGTCTAAAGGCCCGGACACACCGGGCCGATTTCGGCCGTCGATGAGCGTCCTGTCCCCTTCTCAGATTGGTGTGTCCAGCACTGTCGTGTCTTTTCGTCCGTGCCGACACCTTCCGCTCATGTTGAATCGGGAGGCTGTCGGCAAAAGAAATCACTCTGATTGGCTGTTCAGCTTAGCGAATCAGTGCATGAGAAGCGAAACGGAAGTGAAGAAGGCATACACAGACGGCTATTATTTTTCATTTTCCACTAAACATGTTTTCGATTATAAGTCGTTATGTGAAACAGTCAAACAGTCACGGACGAGAGTGAAAATGGAACGCACGCTATTTGTTGTTTGTATATCACGCAGTCTGTTTTCCGGTTGCCTCTTTTGAATTAAGAATACACACTACCGCCGCCTGCTGGTAAGGAGAGTTATTGCCACTCACGCATGCGCAGTGCGTACGTGCTACTTGGCCGTCGGCTGAAGTCTTTGCGGTGTGTTCCAGTGCGACTTTTTGGCAAAGACGCAGGAGATGTGAGGCGACCATAGACTGTATATAAAGGCGACACAACAATCGGGTTCGTCGGGACGTGTTCTTTGGTGTCAGTTTGGTGTCTCAGGGCCTCCATGAAGCACTCTCACTGAGTTTAACATCCCTTTGCATGCTGGTCCCCAGTTGAAGCGGAACACTGTGGTGATATTAGCAGAGGCTGTTGAGATTTTGATTGCAGTTTGCGGTGCATATAAAGTTTGGAATGAACAACACAAATCAGCTATTTCCGGACTCATAGTGATACTCTGAAGTAAAAAAACTTTTACCAGATTAGTTTTTCTTTGATTGCAAATAACTTTAGTTGTTCGATTATTTTCAAGGAAATTTGAAACATTTTCCATTTGTTCTTGATTTATACAGACAGGACCGAAAACAGATTATTTCAGACTTGAAAATTGATCACTATTATTGTTTTTCTCACTTGCCTCTCAGGTTTTCTGCAGTTTTCTTACTATGGAATAAAACTCTCTTATTCTCTAATGAATATATCCATGGTGAATGTAGCAGGAGGCCTTCCTAAATACATTGTAACATAAAATAAGCTTTGACTTGAAAGAGGTATCTGGTAATGAAAGCTCCCCACAGGAAGACTGTGGTTTACCAAACTGTCCAATCTCTGCTTCACTCTGCACTGATGCAAAGGGGCTCATTCTCTCTGTGTTCCGTTAATGAAAGACTCGCTTCAATGAGTTCTGAAAGGATGAGGCTCTTGAGGACACATGCTGAGGTCCTTGGCTGTATCCTCTGAAGCAAACTCAAGATAGCTGACTGAGAAGAGAAATAAAGAAACTAAGATGTAGGAAACAAAATAAAGAGAGGAAAAAGCAGAGATGGTTAAGAAATACAAATAAAAGGGATGAGAGGGTAATGAAAGGAGATACTGGGAGACAAATGTATGCCATACTTGATAGGAAGACAGTGCCATCTAGAGACCTCATGTGATAGCATGTTAGTGCTCAGGAAAGAAACCAAAACTTTATTTACAAGCATTTGTAGTCATTCAATAGACATATATTTCTCTCGTTCATCTGGTTAAAAGAGAGCTCAGCTGTCCCAGGAGAGCCAAAATGTTGTTTAAAAATGTTCTATGCTGAAAAGAGAATCATACTTTGAACCCTGTTTGCAGGATATATTTAATCCCGCCCAAGACGTTCTCAGAAAGTAACCCTGTCCATCTTTTCTAGAACTTCTTTGTATTGATATCCCTCTTGTCCCTTGGCCCTTGTGCTCCCTGCCTCTTCCACTCGGGGGTTCCCAGGCTCAGCATTTTCCACGGGGCCAGTTGGGTTTACACCAAATGTGGTTTTCTCAAACTTTGCTAATTTATCAGCTTCACAACAATAACAAATGTCCTTATCCAGAACTCCATCACTCTATGTTACTGTCCCTGGAGGATGTTGCAAGTTACTACGAGAATTAGGCAATAAGTCTGCAGGCATACGAGAAGAGAGAGATGAAGATCAATGTAGTGCGAGCACATTAAAGCTGTTCAACAATTCCAATATCAGATGGGTCAAAAAAGATGCCTTATTAGCACATGAGGCCATTGTTTACTGTAAGGTTTAGTCTTTCTAGAGAAAGTAACCATCAATTAGAAATGTTCTTGGAGTTTCTTGATCTTAAAGAGGACATATAAAGAAAAACTCATACATTAGGGAATATCGGAGTATCTCCAAACACTGCTTTCAGAGCAGCCAGGACTTTTCAGGAAGGGTCCTAAAGTTTAAGAGACAGGAGCGAACACTTTTTGGAAACTGAATCCAATACTTTAACGTTTAACTATTCTTGGGCATGAACCTGTTGTTGTAACTTCTTTTATTTAAGGCAGTAAAAACATTTGTTTATTTGCTTCTTGACAGAAGTTAAGGGTAAAATGTTGAAGGTAAAACAGGAAATGCTTTTATTTTGAAGTGCAAGTATGTGTCCTGCTTTTGCTCCTTCCTGTTTTGATATAGAAATGAATATGAGTATGTCGAGTGCATTTTCTCCGTCTTCCACAGTTCTTGTTGGAAACTGTTGAATTAATATAAAGTAAACCCGTTCAGTTTGGACAAGATTTTGCTTGGTTCTTCATTCGAAGCTTCTATTACACAACACCTGTAAAAAGGATACATAATTTAGTCTATGTAAGTGGGGTTTCGCTCAAAAGCTGATTGACTAAGAAGTCTTGCTGGATCAAAAAACCAACACCATCTGCGGGTTATGTTGCCGTCATGATGATGAGGGGGATTTTTTTCCACTAGATTTAACCAATCCTTTACTCAGGAGATTCGGTTCTGACACTGGCTCAGATATTTTTGGACTACAACAGGTCTTGAATTGGGCTAAGAGGAAAGGAGAAGGAGTCATGGGTAATACAACAGGAAGCAGGGAAAGTGAGCCGTCACACGTTTTAGATGATGAAAAACATACAGTAGAGGATATGGTATTATTGCACGTTTACTGGATGCAAACAAAGTCAAGATATACAAAGTAAAATGCACAAAGAGACATTTGTGTGAGTAACATGCTGTGCAACAGAGGTGCACAGAAGGCATTAGGTGCAACACTCATGGAGAAGGCAGCTTTCTGGGCAATACATACAAAGTTATTCTATTCATCATGAATACATTTAATCCACAGAGACTGTTTACATGATGGTAACATGTACATGAGTGACTTAAAGCAAAGTAAACTTTTCACCTGCTAGCAGTGTTTTCAGTTAAGATCCAGAACCTTATATTGCTCATTCTAAGTCAATGTTTTACATCAAATGACATTCTCACTATGGCTATTAGCTGAAAAGTGCTACTTGAAGCAGGAACGGAACACATACCGGAGATTTGGGGAGTTACACTTAGGAAACACAAACAGATGAGGACATAATAAGGCTTCTCTGATAAGTTAGGAAGTATGTCAATAACTTACAACAAAAATAGCAAGAGAAGATATTACATAACTTCAAAATGTTTGGAAAATATTAGAAAATGTTTGCTATTAGAAAATAAAATGCAATTAGCAAATTTGGTTCACAAAGTGCTCTATTTGGGGGTTGGATTCAAATAGGCTTTTTAAAGGAAGGGGTTGGTAGAGCTCTGTGGCTGCATCTCAGGTCGGTTAAATGGAATCCTTGCGTCCCTCACTTGCGTCGTTTCCCGCTTTAGTCCCTCCCACCAGGGAAGCATGGAGAGACGCAAGGAAACCACGAGAAGCAGGGAAATGAGTTTTAAGAGCAATGGGACGTCCTTTACTCCGGAGCGTCACCTGAAGCGACGTCCGTTTGTGATGACGCTGCACAGCTGATGTCTGACAGCAGCTCTGTCCCCGTTATTTTCACAAACACCCCCGCCTCTGTTAGTACACATTTACTGACACAAACATTTGTATCATCTGTTGTAGACCCAAATAAATCAAATCAAATAAGAACTCATTCTCAAAAAAGATAAACGCCATTCTTAAAATGTATAAAAGAACAATAGTTTGATTAATATTGATTAGAGTGCACAATAGAAATAAAATAATTGAGAGAAGAAAAAGAGATATGTTATCTATCAAAACCCAGTTAGATTAACATTCATTGGATTGCACACTTTCTTTGTTTGTGTGGATATGTAGCAAATTAACATTTTAAATAGCACTTAATGACTGACTGAATGGAAATGACAATAAATGAAAATGTAAAACGAAAAAAGCGATCATGAAAATGTTTCCAATAAATGAATAAAATTATTTTTGACCACTTTGTTGTTCAGATATATTACATATTTGTAACTAAATTATACATTAATTGAAACAAAACACAGTATAAACTGAGGAGTGACTCTCGTGAGTTTCATGTATTTTCTTCACTCCGCTGGGAAATCAGTGCATGCGCTGCATCGTCCAATCAGTGAGCGATACACAGTAAGGGGGCGGGGCAAGTATCTGAGGATTTCATCGGAGGATGGTCTGGTAGTTCCTCGATTATCGCTCCTCCATTATCGCTCCTCGATCCTCGATCCTCGGTTCTCCTGCAGAAATAAGCGCCATGGGACGCTACTCAAGATGGCGCAGACAAATCAACTTCCGGTGATACCGAGGACCGAGGAGCGAGGAAATTAAAATAACCGACTTGAGATGCAGCCTGCGAAAGAGGAGGTCAGGTTTGGTGAAGCAGGAAGTTCTTGATGGGTTGTGGCAGCGGTAACGAGGGTATGTGTTTTAGGTGACTTTTACCCATCGTTCTGCGGATCCTGATGCGACACACGTGTGTCAGCCTGCGAGGGCATCCTGAGGAGAGACAAAGCAAAGGTCCGTCTCCTTAGCAACTGCAGCAGAACCACAAGACAGGTTCATGTTAACCGTGAAAGATTGAACACAAATGTATTAACACACCAAAGAGATCTTGTGTGCACTTGAATGCAGCGTTGGCCTTGGCGGAGGTCTGCTCTCCCAAATGCCATTCAAGTTTGATTTATTATCACTGGATTATCTGAATCTGAAACTTTATACATTTTTCGTTTCCAGTCAGGGTTAGGGTTAGGGTTAGGGTCAATAAATGGTAAGACGCATGTTATGCCTCACAGTATTAACTATCGCATGAAAAAAAAAAAAGATTTACTATAGAAACTTATGAGTTTATGTTCATTGAACCAAATGGCAATACACTGGAACAACTTCTGTCAATGTGCATAATGGTCCTTTTTCCCAGCAGGCATTACAGGTGTTAATAATAACATTAACAATGGCACCGCTCGTTTAAAGTGCTGCGACAGTATGCACAATAGCAGGACCTTGAAACTTGAATAGAATTTAGCGATTTATCATTTTTACACCTGTTTCTACTATAGCATATCAAATAAAGTAACTTTAGTGCAAGCCAATTAACATACATGCAACATAAGTCATTTAATGATAGGAGGGTTGTAGAAGGGAATTTTCCAGTCAAAAAGTCACATAGCAATTAAAGGAAACTCCCTGCAGGATGCAATATGCTCAACATTTCTATTAAAATGTAAAACATTTATCGGTATTGATATTATGCGATTATTGGGTGGTGTAGAGGCAACAGCTCATGACAAAAAAAGTATTTAACACCACTCAAAACCCATTAATTTGAAAAAATATCAAGTAAAAATCTAGTTTCATCTAAAATGATTCTTGTGATTATCATCAATCATCCTGAAACAGCACTCGCCTCCATTTCCCCTTAAGAACCTACTGTATCATTTTGTATTAAACCCTTGCTTTTAAATGTATTTGTTTGCAGTATTGGACCTCACTGATGCCTGCACAATAATGTACTCACTCTTGGCCTCCAGGAAGACCTTGAGCGCCTCCGGATCCACCTCCCTCCGATTGGGAGCCTCCAGCGCTGATCCGTCCCAGGGCACGAGGTGCGGGTTGGCCCCGTGGTTCAGCAGCAGGTGGATGAAGTCCTCCCCACAGCCGTGTCGCAGCGCGGCGTCCAGCAGGCAGGAGGCCAGGCCCCGGGTCAGAGCCTCTTGGCAGACGGGCCCTGTGTAGTTGAAATCAGGCTGAGCGCCGGCCTGCAGCAGCAGCCGGAAACAAGGGAGGTGATGGTAGGCTGAGCTGATGTAGAGAGGACACACCACCAGAGTGTTGAGGGTTCGAGCGCTTAAGAGGAGCCGGGGGCCCAGCTGGTGGTCCATGTCTACATCAGCATTGAACCTGGACAGAAGGAAATTATGATATTTCAGATGGCATACTTTACAACAAATGCTAAATCCAGCCATTATAATGTGCAGACAAGGTAAGTGTCTAGATAAAAAAAATATCTGGGTACAATTGACAAATTATGTCTCTTCAGTCTGTTCAGAACCCCAGGTTTTGTGCATTCTGGGAAAAATGAAAGAAGTTAAGAACTAAATGCAAAGTAAATCAGTGAATCAAATTCAATGACAAGCAACATAGTATATGAAAAGGTTCCCCCTGTAGCAATCCACTGCATAAACAGTATATTCCTTGGTCAGGAAACACATATTATTAAGCTGATGTGTTGAGTAGTACGCTGGATTAGCTGTAACCAGACTGACAGATACACACAAGACTGAATACAAAAACTCCCCAAATAAAAGATAAGAAAAGATTCAAAGACGGGGGTTTTGGAATGGAGAAAATACCACAAGTCATCAGTTCTCAGCAGTAGGAGAGAAAATAAAACAAATCCCGTTCTCAGCATACTGGGTAAAAAAGTTAAATACAAATAGCTGTGCTTGCTTTACCCAGCCCCAAATCACACTCCATTACAGCCAGGTTTTAGACTTCTCCTCCTGTAGCCTCACCTGATGAGCTCCTGCAGCAGGTCCAGCCGGCCCACCCGGGCAGTGTGGTACAGCGGCGTGCTGCGGTGATGCCGACTCCCGTTGGGATCGGCCTTGGCTTCCAGGAGGATCCGGACACAGTCAAGGTGACCATTCACCACGGCAACGTATAGGGCTGTTTGACCTTTAACATCCACCAGGTCCACCTTGGCTCCCTGAGAGATCAGAAAGGCCACGCAGGCGGCGTGTCCCGCTGTAGCTGCGATCCGCAGGGGGGTGCAGGGCAGACAGCCACAACACCACACAGACTTCTCATTGATACGCCTGGAACCAAGGGAGGGAAGGGACATGTTATTTGTTTTATTTGTTCTATATTAAAGGGGGCCCTTTTATGGTTGTTGGGGTTTCCCCCTTTTGTGTAGTGTGTTAAATAGGTTTTTGTGCATGTAAATGGTCTGCAAAGGCTAAAATCCAAAAGTACCCTCAAGAGGGAGTTGCTATCCTACAACCCCGCCACCCCCCCCCTGCCTGAAAAACATCCATTGGACTCCTTTGTTTACTTCTGTAACATAATGACGACATCACACTCACACTTCGCTTGGCTTGCACTCCAAGACATTGTACGTGATAAGGGACAGGAAGATAGCCGGCCAGCTAACCAAAAATAAAGACCTTAAGAACATTAAAGCATGTAAACATTTTACAGTAGAGGCACAAAATACAAATATGAACCTAAACATTTGCCTAAGAGGGCCCCTTTAAATTACTTTAGGGTGACAGGGTTTCAAAGGAGGTTAGAACAACACTTTGGCTGTACAGGGTAATTTGGATTAGATCCAGAAAATCTGAAATGATAAAACTGTTGAATTGCTCTCAAAAGGTTAAAAGAATATCTTGTTAAAAGTAAAAATTACAAACATATATTCAAATCAAGCACGATAATGACAATGAAATGTTAAGTTTTGCAGATCTTTAAACAAAGAAAAGGAGGTTTTCCAAATTACGCAAATTAAGAAATTGTGAAGGAATCACATTTTCATGTCCTTTCTGATGAGTTTTAAGAGGAACATAAAAATACTTTTATATTAATTCTCTATATTTATTAAAATGTCTGCTCAAAATCAAGACATGTCCTTGTCCTGGTGAAATAACAATGACAGATAGGAACGTTTTTTTAATATAAATGCCTGAACGTCATTTAGGTTTCTATCCTGGTCTCTTTTTCAAATTAATTTGGACTTGTAAGCCTGTTTTGACAGGGCATAATACATCACACATAATAATAAAAAATATTGTGCTTGCACTTAAAATGTTTGATAAACGTTTGTAGAATAAAATCAGGCCAATGACTATACACACATTGAAAACACTCAACTTGCCAAAGTCTTTAAAATATCATTTCTGTGTGGTAATCTCAAATAAAACATTTACAGATACCTGCAAAAATATTGTGCTTTTAACACTACTTGCTGCCTCAGGCAAGTTGGAATAGGCCGGGCAGGGAGAACCTAATGAAATATAAAGAGTTTTATTGAAAAAACAGCATGTTGTAAACCATGTGGAATGGAGATGAACTGCCCTAAACCCATAATAATGGGTTGGCTTGGTGTGGAGTGCTGCACACAACCACTGTGGGATTGGGGTTGAGTGACCACTCCAAAATGGTCTCTGGCTCTATGAACATTACAACGTTTCCCAACCTGTGTCCAAAGTATCCATAAACCAGTGATGTGTTAGGGTCATGGATGTGTTACGGCAATCAAAATGTGTGTGAATAATTATTAGTTTGTGAATGTTTAATTTGTAAAAAGTTGTGAGTTTTATTTCTATGAGATTGTTTCATTTATTATTTTAAGTTACTTTTTTCCGTGGGGAACATTTAAGCTGCACGTTGTTGTTTACCTGTTTGTCATTTCCGCCATCCCCTCACAGTGATGTCGCGCTGGAAACGGTGATTGAATTTATTGTTATTTCTTATGTTGAATGTGTTATTTAAGTTCATGACAGCGATGTATAATGTTCAGTGACACTTTAGTGCCTAAGTAATTGAAACTAATTGTCTATTTGTAGCATAGGAAATAGCACTTATAAGATTTATTACTGATAGTTTTGGCGAAATGTAGACGCGGTGTCAACAACACCGGTGTCCTCCTGTTATTCTGGCAACACTTGAGTGGATTTTTCTGTCTTTTCTTTTTGTGTTTTAGTAAAGTTGTGACAACGTGAACAACATGAAGTTAAAAAGGACATTGTGTTGTTTTTTACCTCAGGTATGTTTGTTTTCAAAATTACCCAAATCTTTCAGGGATTTTCTGGCAATCTTTTGCATCCTTTGTGCCAATGGAGCATGCACACTTGAGTATTCCTGAAACCTCGCCTCCATTTGCAGCATCACAGCCGGTCTCAGCTCAGTCAAATTAATGGATGAGGGAAAATAACTCTAGATGTGGGTTTAGAACTTTAAGGACCTATTGGTTTAAACAAGGGCAATTCAAGTTTTCGTTCTGGATATTTGATTAACCTGCCAAAAAATATATATACGCTCATTTATAGAGGTGTCTTTCCCAATGTAAGTCAATGGTAAATGTCTTTTTGGTCCCAATTGCATCCCGTGACTGACCCAGAAGTTGTAGAACCACTGTTTGGCCACTACGCCTAGTGCCACTGTGGACATGATGCACACATTTAAAATAGGACACCCTTGGTTAAAGGCTGGGATAAAAGTATCCAGCATATGGTGTGTGTTATGCTGGACTGTTTGTGGTAGAGATGCGTAGGGCCAAATTCTATGCAGCATTTGTTTCTCTAAGGCTATCACTCAGCAAGCCTACTGAAAAAAACCAACACACAGAAACCACAAACCACTTAGTGGCACATATTGACTTTGTGGACAAAAGCTGCCAGATTTGCAGTACAAATATGCAATGAGAAGAGCAATGTCAAATGCAGAATTTCCAAATTGGTATATTTTTGGTGTATTTTCATTATAAAGTCTGAAATATAAAAGCAATTGGAGACATGTGAAAAAAAACAAAAACAATAATGCAGACAGATTTAATCAAGTCTACACTGTGTTACTGTGTATACTAGATTTTACTTGTATTGCACTTAGTTCATCATTCTCATATTATAGGGCTTATTATCATACTTTTATAGCTTATATTTTGGATCATAACGTATCATACTATCATATGTGTGCACTGCATACTGTATCATATGTTATGTGTTCCACTTATCCTTGCCTTTTTGACATTTCTCCTAAATCCACAAGATATTCTAAAAGTGTATGAATATGTTTCTTCACTCATGACTATCCTTGTGTGATCTCTTATTTGTGCTAAACAAAACAAAATGATTACTAAAAAAAAAGGGCTTTACAATTAAATCGTAATAAACTCATATCACAACTATTAGCCCCTCCCACCGTCTGAAGCTGTCCTCCTGCAGCAGGTTCCTCAGGGTGTCCAGGTCTCCCACGTAGGCTGCGTTGTGCAGCCGCAGGTCCTCCTGCTCCAGAGGTTTGTCGCTGAACTGCTCCTGGAGCCATTCCTTCAGGTTACGGCCTGGTGAGGACACACACATAACATTTGCAGAAAGTGTTCAATTGCTGGAGAAATACTGAAATTAGTATTCTACAATGTATTATCTTTTAAAAACCTAATAAGTTAAGGTGGTTTCCTTTTTCATCGAAATCAAATTTAATATAGCACAGTGTCACAATATGTGAAACAATTGTATGTAGACTATAAGACAGTTTCTCCTTCTTCTTACTACTTCATAATTTTGAAATATCATGTCATTATTTTTTTAAAACAAACAATTTTTAAACAGCAATTAGTTGTAAGAAATATTAATTACTTTACTTGTCCAAGTCATTTTTTTGTAAAATGTATTATTATAAAGACTTTCATCACAAGGCTAAGTGTCAATACCATTTTTTTCTTTTACTGGCAGAAATGGTCTTCCATACATTGTTCAAATCCATCCATTACTTGTATCATTTGCAGCGCTATGACAACATCGAAGAGCTGGCAGACACAGTTGGTGTTTACTGTCTCCATGGACCACACCTTATTACCATGAGTCACCCCCAGCCACAGCCCATCTCTGTTATTGCTGCCATGCTCAGAGAGGTCTCGCTGTTATTTTATGTGCACATGGAGGCCCCTGCCCCCTGAGAGGACTGATGAATCATGAGACATGTTACCTGCAGCAGTGGCACTGGGCAGGTCGGACACAGTGATGAGGGGGGGGGGTGTTGTTGCTGGGCGGCTCTTCGGGGTCCGGAGCGTCGGCCATGCTGCTGAAGAGTCTCACCGTCGCCCTGGAACCAGTGCTTCAGGAGGAGAACGACCCCGGTTCCCACCAAACACGAGAAACCCAGCTGAGTCAGGCAGCAGACATCAACATACGCAAGCGTGACCGTGTTGGTGACGTCAATGCTCAACTTCCTGACTGCGCTCAGCTGCGCGGATTTAAAGGGGAAGTGTCACTTTAATTAACAGGGAGGTAATCTATAAATAAACTATTCTTAACTCCTTATAAACGTAGACAAATTATTTAGAAATGTTCATTTGAATAATTTTAAACAATGATCGTTTTATTAAAGCAATATTTCCCGTGATACATGTACAATTATTTTTCCAATTTTATTTTCCAAACATAACTATAAGATAAGCCGTAATTAAAGCGCAATGCCAAATATTAGGGAAAGAACATGTTATTCATGTATTTAGTTTAAATGTATTATTTGTATTATAATGTTATGTTTTAATTTTACATTCTAAAAAAATAGACATATTGTGGTTGTTTTGTAGAAGGCTAATAACTTACTGAAGAGGATAAACTGTTAATGCAACTTCAAAACTGACTGTGATGAAACAAATTGGAATTTAGAATAATTTAGGGGAGGGTTTTAGAGGACAATCCAAAATATGTATATTAAATCTGAGGCAGATTACAATGAGTTTTTATATGTGGCAGATTCATGATTCAAGCCCATGTGCCAGAAGGACACTTTAAAGGTCAAAGGGCACTACCAAAATGGAAAGGACTTGCGATGAATTAACCCTTACAGCTTGTGTATAATGTAAATCCTGTTCACACAAAGTATTATTTTCTAATAAATCTGGCTACCTGCACAATGTAGGCCTAACATGTTCTTCAATCCATATTTTTCGCTGTTCAATTGTGGGGAGTCAATTTTCTTGGGTGGGTAACGTACACCAGGGAGGCATGCAGCCATGGATTTATGTTGCTTGGTGACAGATGAACCTTTAAATGGTGCTCTAAAAATACATAGAGGTCAAAAGTGCCACGTGTCTGCAAAAGTGGACAAGCTGCACAGACTTCCAGTGAAGTAAACAAATGGCTGTTTCATTGATGAACATTAAAGCATGGAACCATGTCACAGTAGAGGCAAAAAATACAAATATGAAATCTGAAAATGAGCATAGTAGAGCCCCAAATGTATCATAATGTTTGCAACACTCAGAAAAATAAACATTTAATAGTAATTTAATTTTTGTAGAATTCCGAGAGGTTCTTCATACCCTGGCCATGTGTTGCAGAAGTGATTGAAACTAACATCAGAATAACAACAAAAGTGGAAGGTGCTGTCAATCATTTGCAGCGTGATCCATTGTGAAATTCAAAAGGCAAGAATCAACTGAGCCTTTTTTTTAATAAAGTCAGTTTAAGGGAAACGCAGATGGACATTGGATGGACGGTTCGGTGTGTCGTCTTATCTTAATCCACCTGTTGAGACTGAGGCCAGCATCTTTTGTCCATGCCTTCTGCTAGAGGCCTTCAGCTAAATCTCCAACTGGCGTCACAAATGATCTGTCCAAATCTAGCTTAATAGTTGTTAAAGGGGCTTTGTGTGTGTTGCAGCTGTTTCTCGGCTTTCCAGAGAAAAAGTTACTGCTAATGTTTCTGAAGGGTCTTAAAAAGAAAGGGAAATGTTTCAGATGTCATGTTGGACTGGGCTTCAAAAGAAATCAGTCCCGTTGAGTGTGACTCGGCCGTGCCAGACGCCACAAGGACTTCACATGAACTCGTCATAATCACAAACCAGTCATTTATCATTTATAATGTAGCTCCAGCAAAAAGACCCCTCATTACATTTGCATTATACGAACAACTTGATCTTGAGCCTTTCTTTAAAACTCTCGTGCAGTCACTGTAGCCTACAATGACTCATAAAAGCAAGAAGAGCAGACGAATATTTATTGCAATGTAACCATTTATTTCACTCCACTACAAAATTATATAATATTTTGAACTATGATACAATCTCCACATATACATAATGTACAGTTATTAAGAGAAACAGAGGATATGATGCAAGTACTTACAGTCTACATTGTCTTTTAATACAAGACATATGGACACGCAGGTTTTGACTTTTCAACAACTTTTGTCTTTGCGATATCTTTATATTTGACTTTTGATGTATGGAAAGGCAAGTGAAAAACGAAAAATTCTGGTTAACAATATTTTGAGTAAGATTTAAATAGCTCTATCCTCTAAGTCCCTAAAAGATAATCTCAGGTGGCTTTTTTCTTCTGTGGAAGAGGTGGGTGGAAAAATAGGTAGCTGATGACTTTTTCTTTTTGTCAGGATTATTTTTCTAAAAGTTCAAATTTCTGTCGGCACTCTAGAAACAATTGTGTGTAAGCAAATTATGATATATTACAGTCATGTTGTTTTCTTAGGTAGCAATTCTGTAAGGTAAATGTACCTTGTTATTACAAAAACAAACACTTGTTGATTCCAACTGTTTGCACAGATAAACAAGTAACATTGACAGCTTTTTAAAACCACTTTTCAGTCCTAAAAAAGATTGAAAAATAGATTGGACTATTTTTTTCTCACTTGCCTCAAAGGGCCTTCTGTTGGTACAGTATATTATTGACTAAATAAATACTGATATGAAAACAGAATACAATCAGACTAAATGAAGGTAGATTTTAACTTTGGAATTCTCCTAGTGAATAACTAATATAAGATTAGTTAAATGAATAGCAACACACTGAAACAATGCAGTTTAACTGCAATGTGTACGTTTTTCAGATTTGCCATCTATCCTATTGGTAATCCATTGTTATGCTGGAAGTGGAAACCAGAGTTTGGGAAGATGTTTTGGAGCTTTGTGCAGAAAAGAGAGAGCATTATAAAAAACATTATTCAAAATAAAAGATTACATTCATAATGTTTTTTTTGTGTGTAAACACTATATCTGCAGCAAATCTTACAGAGCTGCACTTGTGCAAGTAATAACAGCAATGTACAATCATATTGGTGCTATTACTTTAATAAGGTTACTGCATTTTTATTGGAAGTGAGGTATGCTACTTTGGAAGAAATCATGGCCGACTAATCTGCTATCGATATTGGAATTTTAATTAAAAAAGAACTGGGACAGTGGTTTCTTACCATCTGACCTACTGCAATATTTAGCCTAGTATTGCTTGTTTTTTTATTTAGCTACATATGTAAAGCACGTTTCTTAAAGTCACAAAAGCAGCTAGTAAAATATTATTATTTTTATAAAGAGTTGTACGTTCACACAAAAGGTTGTGATCTGACCAAACACTGTCTCCATCACAAAAAAGAAACAGTTTGGCAAATCCTACAGTACAAATACGGCTGAGGGACCTCCATGATGGCGGCTTTCCTATTTGAGAATGTATGTATTCTTACTGTCTCCTGGAAGTACATTAAATGAGTGTTTCAGTGTGTAATAATATAAGTAAAAGTGAAAGAAATAAGAACTCTAACACTGCTACCTCTTTCTAAGCAACTTGAAGGTGCACTTGAAAGGTACAATCTTTGTTTTAGCAAGGGTAGCTTCAGGGAGGACGCTTGAAGCAAAACGTTTAGAAGTAAAAGAATGTGACACGAGAATACTAGGGATCGTGGAAAATAACAAATGAAAGAGCTCATAACCCGGAATTAATCTCTAATTACACTGCCTCTCTTTTGTATAGCAGTGGCTAAGTCCCAATTTTATGCTTGGTTAATAAATAAAAACAAGAATATAGGGTTTAACATTAGGTACAGAGACTGTGTCCAGCAAACTTTCATGTTATTTGTTCATTCATTTTTGGGGGGTATATAGGGCATTTGATGAACTCACCCAGCATTATTACATTTATTTGGTCTAATTTCCTTGTCATTCGAAGTCATCTGCAGTATTTTCTTGCCCTATTTCTTGTTTTCTTCTTCATATGTCTTAAGTATAATGTACCGTATGTTGCCCTGTTGGAGGAGCCTGGGAACTACCCCGTAGCTGTTGTGAAGTAAAACCTTTGAATCTCAACTGTGCACTGGTTCATTCCACAAAGGCACCATAACAAAAAAGGAGTAACTGATGTGGTTATGTGAGTGCAGAGCAGGAAAATATTTTATTATTTGATCCGTCACCGCACGTGTGAGGATAGTCAGATCACCATGCCATCATATGTAGCTTTTATTATCTAACATCTGACATATGGTGTCTGATTTTCTCGGGTCCATCTCTGACAAAACTTTAAAAGTGCAGTGTTTGGTCCCATTCCACATCGTCTCTGAGAAAAATGGTAAGACCATTATTCTGAATGAGACACTGTTGGTTCCTAATCTTCAGTGCGTTTTTAGGAGAGTTTATACTCAGTGGATCTTGTTTCTCACTTCAGGCTCTGGAGGAGAAGTTGATTCCAGTCACCATCTTCTGAATCTTATCTTCATTCTTCAGTATGTTGGATCTCACAGCACAGATCTTGTCCTGCTGTTCTCTGATCAGCTGATCCAGCTCTACTAGTTCTGACTTAAGGGGCTCCACAGCTCTGTCTGTCGCTCTGTAGCAGATATAAACACACACAAACATAGGAGGGATGATTAATTACATCAATGTTATAAAAAAAGGAAAATTGTCCACAGAGACTAGCAGATACAGTGTTATTTGACTGAGCCATTGTAGGTACAAAAATATATAATACAAATTCAGAGCATGATAAGGACGTGAAATATTCAAAAAATAAAAACCTTGAATATTCTCTGAGGTTTTAAAATCAAGAAATTAACAATATCAGGAATGCTTTGAATTAAAGTTTCAAAATTACAAGTCAAGCGATGAGGTTTATTGACAAAAACTTTATTTTCTCCTAAATTTGTGAATTCAATCACAGAGGATTTCAGAATTTTCTCACAAATGTATGACTTTATAATCTTAGAGAATATGCAAGTTTAAACTTGACTGATTACTTAAATCAGTTATATGAATATGAAGATAGCACCTTGCATGATAAAGTGAGTATAAAGCTGTGTTTGAGATAACATTTCCCGTGTGTTGTGCCACCCCCACCTCTGCTCCTGCAGCAGGGCCTGTGCGTGCTCTTTGTTCTCCCGCCTCCAGGTGTGCAGCTCGGCCTGCATGGCGTCCATGTCCTCCTGTATGTAGTCCATGATCTTCCCCAGAGGCAGAGTGCTGCGGCACACCGTCTGGATGGAGGTGCGCAGCCGCTCGATCTCACGCGACACGATGTCCCGCTCTTTCTTCCGCGCTGCTTCAGACACCACGTTCTGGAAGAGGAGATGATAGAAAAACAATAGGTGAGGATTAGGGGAAGAGATTTCTGGGGCGGTCAGCTAAGGAAATATATGGGCCTTAAATAAATCTCAGGGACCATTATAACTTTTTTATTATAACTTTTATTAATAATTGTAATATTTTTTTTTGTTGTCCTTTCATATTTTCGTTTTATGTCTAAACCATGTGGATACAGCTTGTGGAAAAGTGGAAAAAAAATAAAGGCAAAGTGAATATTTAATCAACAAGTTGATACAACTGAAATAAAAATTCAGTTTAGAAACAAAATATTTGAGGCTTCAGGAAAACCAAATTGAGGAAGCTCAAAGCAATTTATTTTCTGTCTCCGAAAACACCCAGTTTTTTTTAATTGATTCTATTATTACATTTTATTGTCTGTTTTGTGTTCTTGGGACCCTGTGTATACTGAACTGTTAATTGTGCAAACTGCTATATAGATATTATGTGAATCCAAATAAGTAACGAAAAAAACAAAATAAATAAATAAAAAGGAAAAATAAGCAAACATGGAACAGTTAATTCAATTTTATCAGCAGGCATAGAAACAAATGTTTTCATTAAATGTGCATGGTTTAAACTAGACGCTGAATCAAACAGCTGTATGAACATACACAAAAATCACTTGTGTGTCCCTAGACCAAAACATAATAAACCCTCTTTAGGAATTCTACCTTTGCCAGCAAAAGGTCTCAAATGCCCAGAACCAGAGCAAGGCGGCATTTAGTGGTTTAGGATTTCAAGGCTAAAAATGTTAGGCAGGAATTCTACCAACCTAGCTGTATATATAAAGATCAGACGTACGGCTGAATTGTGTTGGCCAAAGTTTGGGGTGAGGGGGGAGCTGGTTGATGAAGGCCTCCTGTGTATGGTGTGTGGTTGGAGGGGGTTCACCATATCCAAATTACACTCGATGGCGTAAAGGAGGGGAAGGTATCAGGGAAGGACCTCCCTTGGCTAGGGAGCAAATCCAAGGATGTTTGCTCAGCTGGGCTTCGCAAGGCCTCTGAGTGTGTGTGTGTGTGTGTGTGTGGGTGTATTTGCAAAAGCACTCAGTATTGCAACCCCAAAGCCACACACACACGCGAGGTATACAGTGGACACACACACAGCCTCTCCGCTCTTGTTTATTTTAGTAACAGGCTTTGGCAGCGGGGTTATTTTACTACAGTATTGAGTAACAACTACTACACTTATGGCCCCTTTCAAGTTCAACTCTCGGTCCAATTTATGCTACACAGATGGGAGCACCTGCCTTCATGGGGTAGCACGGAATCAAAATTGTGACAGTGTGCAAACTACATGACAGCTTCCTCGTCAACACACACACATCTGTCACATGTGCTTAGCATAGCTAGCACGTTAGCAGTGGCCTTATCAAGCCATCTCATAAAACAAGTAAACGAGTAATTCGAATTTTAGAAAACTTGACTAGAAAGGACCACACTGTAGGGGTGACATCAAAAGCCACTGCTTGCCATGATGTCTTTACACGAAACAACATTTCTGACAGCCGTGCTCTTTGTTACGTGTTTGCGGTGGTTTCGAAAGTGTGAGGGTTGAAACGCCTCGGCCCGGCGGTCCCCTAACAAGGTGGGTGGCTTTCCACTGGGGTGAACCCTGCAGCTAGACAAACACTCCACGGCTCATTCGGCCTGCCTGGCTGCGGTTTGGTCCAGACAGGACCCATGGCTTCTTTCTGTTTGTCGTCCCTTTGCTTCTTCGCCCCTCACCCCCTTCCTTTCTTCTGTTGGAAAATAAAAAATGTCGGCGTGAAAACATGACCCCTGCTCGTTGTGCACTCTGTCCAGGTGGATATAAATCACAGCTTTATGGAGGTCCCTGTCGGGGGGCTACGAGACCCGTGCGCTCCTAGTTTTGTTTCTTCTCACCCGGATCACAGAACAATATTTAGACTGGGTGACCGCAGAGGAGTTGGAGGTGAGAGAGGAGGAAGGTTTTCCCATTATCTCAGACAGTGATGAAGCCCCAGGCAACGGCCAAGACATAGCCTCTGGTTGTACGTAGAAAGAGCAGGTGGAATAAGAAGGAGGTAGATTGTTTTTTATGTCTACATGATAGTGATGCAGTAATCCAGTCCAGAAGTCAGCATTGAAATGAGCTCCTCGACATAAACTTATGGGATTTTTACATTGGATTTTGGATTATCGCATAAAATAAGATCTGTGGCAAAGACGTTTATGATACTTTCACATTTTGTTCATCAGGTTAATCTCCAAATATGACAGTCGCACAACTTCACGTCAACAATGTTAAGCTAACGGTCATCTCTTGTTTGGCGTTATGATTAGGGATGCTCAGATCGATCGGCCGATACTCACTCTCTACCGATCGATCGGTGCTCTCTAAAAATGCCGATCGCGAGAGCCGATCGCATGACGTAAAATACATGACACTTTTCTCTGTGCGCGGCAAAACAAGCTCGCCAAAATGGCTTCACCAGTCTGGCATTATTTGAAGGTGTCCGAAAAAGACAGTAAAATAGCGGTATGCAACGTGTGTGTGAAGCAGAAATCCTGCAGCTCCACCCGCTGTGACGGACCGGTGAGCGGAGCAGAACACACAAGAGTTAGACCTAACACACTTAGCTATTTTATCTACCTCTGGAACAAGCTAAACTAGTTATACATATATTTATTCTTCACTGTCGGGTCACTCATTACTGGATCAGTGAGCTGCATGAAATACTGACAGGCTGTCAGGAGAGAGAGAGAGGGAGAGAGAGGGAGAGAGAGGGAGAGAGGGAGAGAGAGGGAGAGAGTGCTTCCGCTCATTTCTCCCGTGGTATTATCCAAAGTGAATGTAAACTTGAATAATGTACATCATTTGAATGTAATAATTATGTTGGTTGTTTGTGGAAGCTCCAGTGAATGAGCCCCATTAACTGAGTTTTAAACATCACTTTAAATGGAAGATCCCCATAGGCCCCGCCCACTCGATCGGATCGGTATCGGCCCCAAAATTGGCGATCGGAGCATCCCTAGTTATGATGTTTAGTGGTTTTATTTAGTCACTTGTTAGCATCCGCCTTCTAAAGACACATAAAAGCTTTAAACATTCACGAGTCAGGTATTTACGGAAATATTTTATGACATAGAACAAAGTGTAAAAATCTTGTAAGTTCGTGTTAACCATAGACCTTATTTTAGGCATCTTACCAAAAATAACCTTTGACTTTGAGACAAGCGAGTCCGGTAGTGCTTATATGCTTACTCATTCCCAGGTTTAGGACTCAATACACATGATTAATTTAATCCTGTTTGCATTTATGTTGTTTGACGGCAAAGTGCTCGAGGTGTAATCTTTATTTAGCAATAAACTGTGCTTGACAGAACAAAATTCTCATAGACATATCATAACATTGCATGGTACAGTGCAGTGTGGAATTCACCCAGTCATCACATGCCTAATCAGCTTAATTAGGAAATGCGTGCGAATATGTGATTTATGGACTGCTTAGAGATTTTCTGAGTCAAGAGGAAGACATTCTTCAGTCTCCTTTGACAAGAAAAATGGGGTGCATGCGTAAAGCCTGTCAGCAGTGGGGAAACCTCTAGGGTATCATTAGCTGAGAAAACAATCATTTAGACGCTAGTTGAGATTAGCTTCCATCATAAAGGAGAGAAGCTTCATTTCATGCGTTAATCAACTTCACCCTGGACAGAAGAGGGGGACGAGAGACAAATGTGCAAACCTCTTGATAGAGCTGCTCTGCCCACGATCAGGTTGAGTCAATGTAAGTTCAACTTTTAGTTGTTACCAAATAAAGAAGAATTTAATCTCACTGAATTGGCCCCCCCAGCTTCTTACAATCAAGACGGTCACAAAGATAACTAAAACAGGATTTACTCACGTTCAAAATGAGATCTCACTTTTCTTTGGATGTTCAGTTTCTGAGCCATGACAAACACCAAAATGTGGCTTTTAACAGACAGGTACAGTTTTGTTTTGCCTCACTGATCTACTACCTGATGGTTAACAGGAGAGAAGAGTTGGTAGTGAATGACGATATCAAATAGGGAAGTCATGATACTAGAAATTCTGATGTCAGTAACGACTAAAAATCTCAGATTCTTGATACTGATTTGATACCACGGTAAAAATGTACTGTACTTCAGCATGCACCCTGTCGTTTGCATACTGTTATTTTGTATTATAACGTTTGAATACCCTATGATAACATTGTAGTTTATCTTTACCCAATCCATTTTCACTGAATAGAGCATGATTGCACCTTAAAGCAACTCTATGGAAATACCATCTGCAAACAGTGACCTGACAGTGCCATCACCTTTTCAGAATTTTTTGGCATCAACTTGGTCTGAGTTCCTTTTACATTGCAAAGTCCTTGAGCATCATGTTATACACAAGCACAATTACTAAAGAGTCCAGTTGCATGCAAACAAGCAGCGCACTGATTGGACAGATACACCCAATCCCAGAAGACCCGAAACATCATCACCTTTAACAATTATATTTTCAAGACCCATGGATAATAGAATACTACATGCAACAACTTTAAAGCTTCCGGGAACAATCATTTTGGTTACTGCTGACAGTTTGAAAAAACATCCCAATGGTTTTAACTTTGTGTTTCTGTAGAAGATCTGAGAGGTGAGCCAGGGAGCGAATCCTAGAGCGACAAATGCCTCTGGGCATTGCTTATGGGCTTCCTCGCCATTTTTCATAGAAGCCCATTGAAAAGTCTGGCTAGATCATAAAAATAGCTTGGAGTCAGTGAGGTGAGGAGAAAAGCTTACGGCCACCGAGGTTACAGGATGTTGTTGCAAGGTCAACGTAGCCCCTTGGGGAGACAACTGAGATCACCACCCTGGGCTACGGGGTGAAGTAAAGAAAACGTCCGTGGAAAAACTGAAACTAAAAATGGACATTGTGATATAAAAAAAGGTGGCTCATCATTTAAACATTCTCATGGAGAGCCATTTTGAAGAGTTGGAAGATATGACTTCTGATCAGAAAGTCAAAGTCTGATAACACATGTGAGTGCTTCAGGTCCTCATACATTCCTCTAACAAGTCAATATGACCTCTACAAAAGTAATATGACTAATGGAATGCCACAGGGCCATTTCCTTGTGTTTCCACAAAAACGCTGGATGTTTATAAAGACACAGAGGTCTGCAGAGAGGAGTATTTATTTTCTTGACAATCCTGCAGAGAGTATTCTGGCCCTTCTCCTTCGTGACTCTCACTCAACAGCCATCCATTTGTATGCCACAGGGTTTATTTATACATTACAAACCTTCATCAAGGCTAATTTGACAGGGGTAAAGAAAAGGAGGGGGAACAGAGTACACAAAAATTCTTATGAAAACGCAGCTGCTGCAAGGGGCAGATTCTGTCTAAATAAAAAAGAGAACTATCTTGGAATAATATACAATAGCGCTAGGGGTCATGAGGAAGGGCATCCTCATAAATATACAGCAGATTCTTCAGTCACACACACTGTGGTGGGACATGGCAAAATACAATCACTTGACTGTTTAAGAGTTCCTCTTTATTTACATGAGGACAGCAATGGGGCAGCTAGGCAGTGGCTGTAACAATAGCTCAATTAATCCAGATATGACAAAGAACATAAATTACAACAGGGTAATAACATGGGCTTTTTAAAGTACAGACCAAGCGGTCTTAAGGCCATGATGTCGGATCTTAAATCAGGGTGGTATGTGACTCAGTGTTTTGAACATTTGAGAAACCGAATAGCGGCGGCTGAAATTTCAAACCTGTCATACCACATAGAATGAGGAAGCTTAATATTTACATTTTTTAACCCTGCGTGTTTTACCGTGATTACAAGAAGAAAAGAAAAAAACACGACTCCATTAGGCTGACCTTCTCCACCCTTTCATGTCAGGAAGGAAGTCATTATAGTTCTTTATACAGCTGACGAGGCAAGGCCAATAATGATGGAGGGGCGGCCTGAGCAGTTCCTATGTGCAGACATACCTGTTAGAAGAAGCAGACCATACAGGATACTGAGGACCCTCCATTAGGCAAATTAGGAAACAAGCTTGTGTTACACAAAGAGCTCAGTTTTTTGGGATGTTTTGCATGTCTGTGTATGCATTTGGTAATTTCATACAGATAAAAGTGTCGAAGTGGGTAGAGAAATTCTGGGCGTTCAAATTCCTGCCAAGCTTTTGCAGTTTTACAGGTGTGAGTTACGAGGGATGAGATGGATCGGGGGCTTTTTTTTTTTTTTTTTGCACGAGTGGCAGGCAAAAACATCCATCAGAGTCAGGGTGGTCAGCGAGGAAAGGGATTGCTGGGAGAGTATGCTTCAGTGAAGAGGACCACCCAAAGCAGACAGCGTGGACTACAGACCAAACTGTAAGCTTCACACCGATTCACACCCCAAATAACGAAGAAAGACGCCTGTTTCTCTACGGGTGATTAACAAGCTGACGGAGGGGAATGCGAGAGAGACAGCAGGAATTTGTCACCTCGGAGAAGATGGTGAATAGTGTCTAATATGGAGACAAAATCAAAGAGATGGAGGGAAGAAAGACGGAACTTTACATGGAACTTAAAGTTAATATTGGAGATTTGATGGGCTTTAAGGGACAAAATACAGAAGAAAAATGTTCTGGAATAACTGCAGTTCACACACAAGGGAAGGAGTGTAATTAGTCAGAACACGATAGCTCTAAAAGCTTTTCCTCTCAATCTGTACGCACAACAGAGAAGTCTGTTATAAAAACACAACAACGATAAGATATTGTGCAACCCATAGAAAGCAAGCTAATTTAGCTCCAGACATCTTGATGTGTGTACAAATGGTGTGTGTGGTCTGTTAGAGGCCAGGCTCGCTTGTCTGGTTATTAGCCCTTCAGCCTCACTGACGGGGGACATTTTTGTGGTTGCAAGGGGGTGCAATTACACCTCTCCGCTCCATTTGTTTATATCTTTCCTTTGATAATAACCAGTGTTGCGCTGGGTCGTTCACTGCGGCGAAAACATTTGCCCGGGAGAAAAAAGCTTGAATAAAGAATGGCTGATAGAAGAGATGGAGAGGTTGAAATTTGAATCATGGATAAGGGCGAGTTTAAGAAAACTAGGCTGATACCGCCCTCTAGTGGAGAAGCAAAAAACAACTTCATCATTTGCACATACCTGTTCTTTAGCTTTGGGGGAGGATGGGGACACTTCATAGTCCTTTTTGGTCTCAAGGATCTTTTTCACAAGGCCACCTACAGTGAGAGAAGCACCATGAGGAACAAGGAAAGATGTGTTTCCTTAAAATCAGGAGAAAATGTGGCATTATTTAATCTTTTAACATAAGCTGAACAAAAAGGAAAAAAACAAACAAGGCCTCGTACCATGTTTGTCTTCACTGTCGAGTTCTTGTGCAGACCCCTAAAATAGAAAAGAAGAATTCAGTAAGTAACCATCCTTTATAAGTTGCGAAAATACAGACAAACATCTTTGACTACACGCGTGTCATTTAATAAAAGGGGCCCTATTATGCTCATTTTCAGGTTTCCTATTTATTTTTTGTTCCTTTAATGTTCAGAAAGGGTTTTATTTGTTTCTCTTACTGCCTGTGCTGCAGCACCTCTTTTCACCCTCTGTCTGAAACCAGAGCCCAGTCTGCTCTGATTGGTTAGCTGGTTGGCTCTGTTGTGATTAGTCAACCGCCTAAAGAAGTCCCACCCCTTAACATATCAAGTACAATGTGTTGGAGAACCAGCCAATAGAAGTGTGAGTGTTACGTAGTTCACTCACTTTGGGGTTTTTAGCCTTTGCAGACCATTTACATGCATACAGTAATAACTTATATAAAACAAACTACAGGTAAGAGAAAACACCAAAAAGCATAATTGGGCTCAGTTAACAACCAAAGAGACAACAGCTGTAAAATCTCAAAATTCGATGTTACCATAGAAACACACTGACACAGACCAACTGTGACTGTCTTAGTGCAAAGGTAACGCATCACAGAAAAAGAAACATGAGAAAAAAGCTTGTGTTTAACGAGGGTCTACTGCAATCCAATGTGTTTTTATCCAATGTACTGTTTAAGTCACTAACCACGTCCATATCAGAAGCATCTGGAGGCGGGGGGATCGCCTCCTCCACGAGAAATTGCTCATCTTCATCCTCCTCATCCTCAGACTCCCTCTTCCCATCCAGGATGACTGGCGCTGAGGGCTTGGCACTGGACAGCCTGGAAGATAGACAAAGACATGTTGTTCTACCTGCTCCATCCATTACAGTTACACACATCATCTTCATTAAGTGTGTGATACGTGTCTCCTGCTATTCTGGACAAGACTGTTTTTACCAGTTTACATTTCATTAAGGGAAACTTTGAATACATATGTTCACTAAGATGAGACAATGACAAGTCCTTAAACCATAACTGTGAGTATATCAAATGTTTTTATTGACTAAAACAGTTTATTTGACTAAGACAAGACTACATTTGCATTTGACACAGGACTAAAACTAAATGTATTAATAGCTGACACACAGCTGCTCACAGTAACTGTTGGGAAAATACTGAATGTTCTCTTCTAATATCAGAGTAGCACATGATAACAAAGGCCCTACGTAGCTGTGTACGTAACAGGATGTATGATTACCTAAAAGAGCGTCAGGACACACTGTTTTAGGCATATGATAGCTATGTGACAACGATTAACATGATGATTCAGCCTCTATGGAGATAGACATATGACAGTCATGTTTATTGTTTACGCAGGCCTGAGCTAATCTGAACTAAACATTGAATACTGCTTTGAACCGGTATTCTGCATCTCGTGACTGCAACACCCTCTCTTGTATATAAGCATGTGAAGGACACTGTTCGGGGAACAATTTGTCCCACGCAGCTCTGTGTGTGATGACTACTTCCATTCTTGCAAGTATAATAAATACGTGTATCCTGATATTGAAGATCAAGCCGGTGACGAGTGATATTTTTCTAACAGTAAGCATACTGCATTTTTTGTGTGGCATCTTTTTCAGAAAAAGCGCCAGCGACTGCACTCTTTTAAATGTGTGGAGAAGCTTGTTTTTGACTGTGTTAGAGAGTACTAAAAGACAGACCAGAAAGTTCATTTGTTGGAGCAAGTGGACCGGTTGGACCCTTGATGTTGCTGCCGGAGAGTGTTGTTACTTTTATCTTTGTATGTGGAATCCTCCTCGCTCTACAGCTGTCAGACTGAGTGCTGAGGCTTATTCAGACAAGTGCGAGAGCAAGAATTTTAACAAATATATAGTAGCAAAACAGATAATAAAATCCAAGGGGGCAATGGTAGTCTGTCACACGAAAGCGGTGATACGGCTTTTCTACCAGAAAAGGCGTGATGTGGACCGACATCGAACAGGAGGATTTTGAAATGAGACTTGTGACATAAGCGAGTATTTGTGATGCAGTCACCTCTCAGCTGGGGTCACTTCAGAGTAACTCTCCTGTTTCTTGACTCGGGGCGGGGCAGGGCGGGCGCTGCTGGGCCGAGGTATTCCCCTGTTGCCGTTGATGGAAAGGATTACACACATTATTGGAATGACATGTTCAACTAACTGTTTTGGAGTTAAATATGTTTGCACTTAAACAAGTCAGTTTCATTTTGTTTAAACAATTATGTTTTTTTTCTTGATTTCTATTCCAGCCAAATCCTCTGTTAACATCTCCCTGTTATTTACCAAATATCTATTCTGTGACAGCTAATCTGACTGATTCAGATTTCAGAATGATAATTGTTGCTTGGAACAATAAACGTTCACAGCATTAATAACTGTAAAACTGCTGCCAGGCAATCATTCGTCACTGATTAGTCAGTTAGACAACAGAACATTTACAATCATCCAAAATATTCAAATGTGTGATCTACTGGAACTGATCCTGGATCGGGCCCAGGAACAAAAGTTTCAAAACTACCCTTGAACTTAAATCAACAAAGCAATAAAATGCAATGCAAAAACAACCTGAAGACACAACATCAGAAATGATCCAATAACTGAAGTAACATGTCAGCATTCTCAAAAAAAACGTCATGTGCTTTATAAATGTATTATTTAAAAAAGGCTTCCTCATATTTGATCTAGCCTGGTTTATGTACATCTTGGACATAAATGAAAGAGTGTTGTAACGAGTGGAAGTGAGATATGTGACAAACAGTTAACGGGAGCTGTGTTTTTAGTAAGTGATGAGTAATGTCTGTGTAAGTAAGTAAGTTCAGCGTTGTCTGTACAGACCTGGAGGCCATGTCTGATGGTACTGTAGTGTCTCCATTTTCAAGGGGGGCAGTTCTCTGGACTAACAGAGCCTCTCCATCTGTGAAAAAGAAAACCAATAACTTGTGGTTAGATCTGCTTAATGTAGCAAAGAATTAGACTCGACTTGAGGTGCTCAGAGTTATAAAAACATGCAATTAAGAAACTCAACAGCAATGCATCTTTCCAGAAATCAAGATTTCTCCAGATAATCAACAGACTTAGTGTGAGCACTTTCATGCAGGACTATTTTCTTTCTACCAAAGTACAACTGTCAGCCGAAGCGTGCATCTACTCTGACCAGAGGCTAATGCTCTTGAGATGTAAAGATGAATTGTGTCCTTCTTGGCTGAGATTTCACATTAGCTAGCTAAGATGCACATGTCCTTCTTTGCTGGGATACGTTTGGCAGGGGAAAAATTGCTGTTGAGTTTTTCATGTGTTTAAAAAAGCTGAGTGCCATGTGGTTCTATTATATTGTAGAGAAGTCTGTCATATCTATGTACAATTTCTCCAACACTTGTGGCAACTCACACCAAAACTACAGGTACTACAAGGAAGAGAAACATGTGTAGTTTTGGAGTGACTGTCCCCTTAAACTTGAATGAAACAGGTGCTTTACCCACCTACGACAACTATTCATTTGGGCAGCTGACTGTGTGAGGAGGGGAATTGTATCCAAAGATGTCTTCCCTTTTCCTTTCTGTGCTAAAGGTTTCAATGACAAGTTTTACTCGTCTTTCTGGAGTGTTTGGGCTGGGTCTGGAACCGCAAGCCTGTGAACGCCCTGAGGAGTTGTTACGATATTGGGCTTTACACATAAACTTGACTGACTTGCTCAAATAGTTGAACAAAAGAATGTTGCTAAATCACTGAGTGAGTCACTCCATACTGAGATAGTAGATTGCTTAGTTAAAGGTGGGGTAGGTAAGTTTGAGAAACCGGCTCGAGATACACTTTTTGTTATATTCCATGGAATGCTGTTAACATCCCGATAGCAATGAATATCTTAAGTGCTTTGACAAAAAATCCATACAAAGATGTCATCTGTGGAAGCCATAGTACTGTAAAAAGCACGACCAATCATTTTAGCCGGCCCGGCTAAAATAACTGGATGGCCTACCTGCCTGTCAGCCTTCCATCTGTGCACAAACTTATCTCGTGCCCTCATTGGTCATGTGCGCGTTCGTGTGTGTTGGAGGAGGGGCTCTGTAAGGAAGTGGCAGATTTTTTCCGGCTGTGTATTTTCAAATTCTAGCGATCTCGAGCTGGTTTCTCCAAAATTACCTACCCTACCTTTAATAGTCAAACAAATATGGATTATTTAGTTCATTTATGCGAGAGATCACTTTTAATATTCTCCTTCATTATTAAAACGTACCCCGCAGCAGTCATCAAAATGCATTTCAGATCAAGTGCACAAACCCTCCGATCATAATGACACCATTTCCACATACAAAATGATGTTTGAATTTGATAAACCTTTATATTCTTTTAGTGTATGCAACTACACAAGGGAGATGATTAAAGAACAATTACCTCCTTCACTGTCAGATTCATCTGTCAGAGAGCAGGGAAACACAAGGCACGTTGTTAGTGTTCTTTCTAATACAACTATCATTATAGAGTAATGTGACATGCAGGTGTGATAAACAGATCACAAACTGATAGTGTTTTTCTTGAAAAGTTGTTCTTAATGTCCGCTCTATGAAGCTTTTATTGCTTCTGCCAACAGTAATCTTGATTAGTCACTCCTACCTCCCACTAAGGAAACTAGTCAGTGATTTGATTAGACAGGTGGAGAGCCAATAGGAAGCTGTCAACTGTGAAATCTATTTGAACATTCTAAAGAGCCCTTCTGTCAATGATTAGAGTGATGTTATTATATCTGTTTAACTATGTGAGATATGCCTCATTGGTGTAGGTGATTCAAATAGGGTGCTGGGGGAGTAAAGAGTTGGAAGGGGGTTACCTTGACCTCCAATTTTGGGTCTCCTCCTCTGCCCTTTGGCAGATGAAGGCCGAGGTATTCTAGCTGGACTGTCAGACTGTAAGAGGAGGAAAAGACAAGCAGGAGAAAGATATAACTTTAGGACCATAACATCAGAAAAGAAACACATCACTCATTATCCATTTGGAGGATTTGGTGAAGCCAAAATCATGTTATCCTCTCTTTTGTGCTAAGTGCAGTGTTTCCCCTATATACAAATAGCGGTGGCGCAGCTAAGGGGCGCCAGCTAGGTACCCAAAAAATAATAATTATATCGTTTTTTTATTAAAATAATAAGTGGCGACCCTTTTTCATTTTTGTTTGTTATGTGGATTTGTAATATTTGTGTTACTGTATGTTCAATAAAGGTGTATTTTTGCTAAATCTTGAGACATTGCCACTGTATGCACTAGGCAGGGCCGATCTTTGGCATAGGCGGTCGCCTAGGGCGCCAGATCTGGGGGGCGCTGCGCTGGTAGCTCTGGGAGGGGAAAAAACCTAGAAACAAATTGGCGGGGCGCACTTCGCACGTGCACACACTAAAGAATTCCACACGCTCCGCGCTCACATTATGCTAGGCCCACGTGCCTTAGCACCGCTGCTATGACTCCATCCTAGGGGAAACACTGAAGTGGTCATTATTTTCTTTGGTAAGCTTTTTAAAAATTAATTAATTAACAGTATAGACCAATTAAACTATGAATACAGACAGACCTCTCCATGAAAAATAAATAAATAATAATACGAATCCAATCCAAGCCAAACATACTGCATAAACACAGTACAATAACAACATATTGAAATTAAATGGAAAAACAGTAAGAACCTACTTAATAGCCAAACATGCTGGATCCATTGAAATATTACAAATAAACATGTCCTTAAGTGTCATAGTAAAAATACACAACTATTGAAATTTAATAAAAAAACAATAGCCTTAAAATAAAAACAAAGCAGAGCTGGCAATATAGCAAATTGTGATTTTTAGAGTAAGTTCTTACCTGGTTCTCAACTGCTTCTGCAGGCTGCACAGGGGGAAACACAGTATTATAATGTGCACAGTTGCATTTATCAATTACACAGTAAGGAAAGGAAAAACAGTTCACATGTCTCCTACACATTATTGCCAAAATGTGCGCTAAACTAAGTAGCCAGCCACCCAAAAACCATTGCCATTATCACTACATTTTAGCAACACAATGCAATAAACTGCATAGCTCTATTTTTCTACTGCTTGTATATTGAATACCTCGTCAACTGGTTCGGGGTCCTTGCAAAAATAAGAGGCACAACATGAAAAAGGATATATTTCAACTTTTTACAAACTGCATATGATGTTTATTTTAACATGTAAATCAGTGACCAACTCTTAATTTGTTTGAATTGGTTGAGTTAATATACACGAATTGAGTCTGCCACACTATGATTGAAGATGACAACATCAAATGATATCATGTGTGAAATGTATACCAAATAGAAAACTCACCACTGGCACAGGTTTGGCTGTTTTGGGCTCAGGGATGGGTTTCTGCTGTGGTTCCTCTGATACTCTGGCCTAAGTCAAAATGAATACACAGGATGTAAATAATGCAATTGCTAACATTTAAGATCCAAGTGAAGAGATTTTATTATCAGCTGTAATATATTTCAATAACCAAAGCTCTATGTATTGCTTCATTAAAAGATCTTTGATGATGCTGCAACAAATCAGCACCTTTTTCTTAAATGTATATATTCAAATTAGAATAGATTTACCCAAAGGATTTTTGAGTGCAAAACTTTTTTCAAAAGGACATCATTTATGGACGCGTCTGGGATAATTGAAAAAATGACTTTTAATCATAATAATAATAATAATAATAATTCCTTACATTTATTATAGCGCTTTTCCAGAGCTCAAAGCGCTTAACAGATACACATTACACACATATCAGACATTTTGTTAACAATATTGTTATTCTTTGTAAATGTTGTGCATTTCGTAATGAGTTTGAACTTTTTGTAAAAGCTGATAAAAATCTGAAGGCAAAATAAATCTGTAAAATATAAGAATATGATTTACACAAAAAGCACTCGCCGTTTTATGCATTTACTCTATTACTATTTATTTTATATATGAATGTGTTTGTTTTTCCATTTGTTTATTTCTGTCTTGTTGTATGCACCTGATCCAGTTAGTTAGTTAGTTGTGAAATGTATGAAAGCTATGTCGTTTTGTAAATAAATAAATACAAAATAAAGAAGACGTGCCGTTAAAAGCCCACCTTGCTGTTGCCGCTCTCTCCACTTCTGTTCCTCTCTTCCCGCTCTTTGTCTCTGTCTCTTCGTTTCTCCTTGTCTCGTTCCCGGTCCCCGCGTGAATCCCTGTCTCTCGTCTTTTCTCGGCCTTTGTCTCTCTCCTTGTCTTTCCCTCTTTCTCTGTCCCTCTCCCTGTCCTTATCCTTATCCCTTTCCTTCTCCTTGTCCCTGTCCTTGTCCCTTTCTTTGACTCGTCCTTTGTCTTTCTCCTTGTCTCTCTCCCGGTCCCGGCTCTTGTCCTTGGCGTGTTGGTCCTGCTCAGCGCGTTGGTGTTTGTCGGAGCGCTCCCTGTCCCGGTGCTGCTCTTTGTCCCCGTCCCTGCGTCTCTCCTGCTCTTTGGGCTGGTCCGGGTCCTTCTGCTCTCGGCTCCCGCTGCGCTCTGTGATCGTTTTCTTCTCCTGCAATTGCAAAAGTCAACAAGTAGTTGATTAGAGGATTTAATGCAAAGTGCCATCCACAGCTGCATAGTGATTCAAAAATAAATCTGAATTGAATTATCTAATTGAAACCACGACAGGATAAATGCTAACAAAGACAGTACATTTCACATCAAATATAAGATTTAGCAAGGTTGAATTCCTAACATAGAAACAAACAGTTTGTCTGTTAACAATACAATAGATTTTTTTCCTGTGTATTTCTTTTGTTTGAATCTGTATTTCTGGACAGTTTATGCTAAGCTAATATTATTAGTATTATACTATTTTTTGTTAGATTCAAGTGGTGGCTGCAAAGTGTTGTTTCTGACTTGTGTGATATATACAAAATATAAATATTGCCAATAACAACAACATGTCTTCATCTTACAAATGATTCTGCTTCATTACATATTTGTTTAAAAAAAGTTAAATGTATTAACCTAGCTGTAATCTAATGAAACTGGAAAGAAAGTTAATTAATGTATGTGTTTTTTCCAATTAATCACTTTATTAAAATTGAGGATTTTGTTCAGGATTTGTTTAGGGTGATTAATGCTTCATCTGAAAACATCAACACAGGCATCAAATGCCAAATAAAATGACATTCTTTGACTGAAGAGGACTCTCGCCTCTCTGTCTGGATGGCGTTCCCGTCCCTCCCTGTTCTCCTTGTCCTGGGACCTGGAGGTGCCGGCTTTGGTCTTTATGTCCACCTTTTCTCCTGCAAGCACTCGCTTCACTGCATCGTCACTGGACAACTGTCAATCAAGTGGGGGAAAAACCATTCATTTTAACACAGAACATATCAATACTTACAGTTGGTTGAATATTTAAAAACAAAAAAAATGTAGCTACTTTAAGAGCTAAATGTGCAATCTTGTGTATTTCTCAGGTTGTAATAACTGTTATTCAAAAACATTTGAAAAACCTGCAACCCTTTCTTTACTACATTTGTGACCAGAGAAATAAAAATAAAATATTTAAAAAGTAGCATTAGATCTAAGAGGAGTACATACATTTGACATCATGTGAAATTAAAATATTGTTTAAAGAATAAACAAATATCCCTCAGGCACCGGCTCATCTGTTAATACTCTTTAATCTCCAGGGTTCAATTAGGATATGTCAAAGTTCTCCCTGAAGAGAATAGACAATGTTCCCAGGAGTAAAATGCTTTGAATGTAAAAAATAACACACTCTGAATCTTCTCTTACAGGATAGCCATTACTATGTTAGTTTCTCCAGAATGACAATGGGATATTTTAGCCCTTTTAATTCACCGTTTATATCTTCATTAGTGTGTATATGTGTGTTTGTGTGTGTATTCTCCCGAGTGCACAGACCTTGTTGGTGCAGCACTTGGCTAAGGCCTGCAGGAACTCATTGGTTTTCTCGGGCTCGTGGCCGGCCACGATGCGCGCTGGCTTTGCCGCCAGGGGCTCTCCGCTCACCAGCATCACGACATCTATCGCTTTCTGGAGGAAATCTATCTTAGAGTCCTTATCCTGGAAAGAAAAAAGGATGTGGATATGAACAGGAGAGTGTGCCGGAAAGGTAATGGAAAGAGTGTGTATGTCAAAGTAAAAGGAAAGATTAAACCCTTGAGATGTGCTTATCCTTAAAGAGTCAAAGATGTGCTTCACTCTGATTTCTCCCTTTCTTCCCCAGTGCTTTACATTTAAAAAAAAAAAAAGAAGATATAATTTACCTAGAGATGTGTTAATCTTAAATATACTAAAAAGATCATGGTGGGATCTTTTTTATGAGGATCTGTACCAAACAAATACTTTTTTTTAAGTTTATAGCATATTAGTTGTAGGCCCGGATTGCTCTGCAGCTCCACAACCCATATTGCAATTTTGATTAAATTACTAATTTGTTTTGCCTTACCAAACTGTTTCTCTGCACTCAATATCAGCTCTCTGAACATAAACTCTAGCAATTTTGGATTTTGTAAGGCAGAAGGAAAAAGGAGAACATGGAATGCCTTTACAAAATTAAGATCAAACAAATATCCACCCCTGCTTCAATTATTTATTTATTGTATGCATGTTAATAAAGCTGACCCTATTTGAGATAAATGACCCTGACCATTTGAGTTTAAGTCACAAGGGAGGTATGTCACCAAATCTGCTCTTTTTCTTTTGGAATTTCGCATTCACATGAGCGGTCCGGTGTATGCACAGTTCGTCAATTTGAGCCTCGGTCAACTTAAGTAGGTGGTTCAGAGTATGTGTACATGTACGATTAGCAACAGGTGGGAAAAACCAACTGTAGCAAGACAAGAAAGTGTTTATATTTAATCAGAAGCAGTAAGCAAGAATAGTTGCAAAAGCATTTCTTGCATCGCCTGTCCCCTTGGAATTCTGCAAAAATCTTTGCTGGGGGGGGGGGGGGGGATTCTCTCTCGACTCCATATAAAAGTTACCTACACTTCTAAAAAACTAGTTGCAACTTCTAGAAGAGATTGCAGAGGGACATTAGATTTAAAATTCAACAACTACACATTTATAATAACTTAATACAGTCACCTAGTTTCAAACAGTGACAGAGCCTAGCGCTGCTTTTGGTGTATTTTGTGGCGGAAGTACTTCCCGGCCTATGTAATACAGCGTCTCCAGCAGGTCGAGCGGACTCATGTGGACGGACACGTTTCTTGAGCCAATTCCGTGTGGACGGAAGACTTTTTTGATATCGAATTCGGTTAGTTTTCGTTTCCGTGTAAACGGAGCCTCAGTATCTAGCATTAGTTTTGGGTCAGCAGCTCTCCAATGCGGCTTTCACACCGGCGCTTTTCACTTTCTAGCTCCTCGCGAGAGCTTTTCTGGTTCAGCTCCCGTTTCCCTTTTCAGCTCCCGCTCTGTTCACACTGCCCAGAGCTGCCGCTGCTGCGTCATGACGTCACAGTTTACGTCGCTGATTTTCTCCCACAACAACAACGGGCCGGGGACTGCATCGGGTCGTGTTGCTTTTAATCATACGAAGCCAGATTAAATTAAATAACGACTTCTCCAACCTTATACTTTTCTCCAGAGTGCCGTGGTTCATTGTTTATTAATGTGTTTCAGCGGCATTTACCGACCGCTGCAGTGGCTGCACTTCCACGGGAGTTTATTGTCCCGTTAGCTCCGGGTTAGCTCACACGGCTCTAAAGTATTCACTGTCTGACTGTCACACAAGCAGCTGATACATATCCCCAGTTCCCCTTAAGTGAATGTGTGTCAGTCTGAATTGACGCTGTTTGGCATCACAACGCTGTTATGAAAGTTTCTCTGGTATAACATGGGTGATGTTAGCATAGCAACCGAAGCTAAACTGACTACTTGCTAAGCCGTTTTCTATAGGCACATTTTACCGGCGTATTTTTCATTATGATTCTACTTCTGATAGTCGGACATGACAACCTGTACAGCCCATGTATCTCCACAATGATCAATAACAGCGAACGGATGGTCAAAGTAAGGTTTCCTGCACGCCTCGACGTAAGAGACGTAAGCAACGCCGCGTCATAGCTCCGAAGCTCTTGCCTCTGGACCGACAATTTTTTGGAGCTGGAAGTGAACCGCATTCCGGAGCTATGACGCGCCGCCGCTGCGGTGTGAACAGGAAAAACCGGCGCTTTTCAGGCTCTAGCTCCCAGCAGGAGCTGGAAAAGCGCCGGTGTGAAAGGGGTATAAGACCCCCTTTACACAAGAACGAAACGGGTTGTATCCGCATAGTTTCTCTTGCGTATAGCTCTTTCATTTACACGAGGCCGTAACAAAACGATAGAAACGGACCCCACAAACGATAACGGGTCCCAAGGTGGATAGATTTGCAAACGAAACGCTCTGGGGGGTCAAACGGCTCAGTGTAATCGCCTCTATACGATCATTTCCCGATAGATGAAGCCATAGCCCCGCTTCTCCCCACCTCTGCTGCTCACTGCTGTAGCATGGCCAGTAGCTACTGTCAGTAGCTACTGCTAGTGCTACTGCTACTGACCATGCTACAGATGTTAGTGCAAAATCTACAGCTCCTCTACCACAACCATCAGCAACAAGTGGACATGGAGAATTACATGAACTACTACATGTTGCTAAATCCACCGCGGGGCATAAACAGAAGGGCAACCATGGCAACCATGCTCCGGGGTCTTCTTCGCTGCTTTTGGTGTATTTTGTGGCGGAAGTTACAGCGCCACTTACAGTCCCGGCATATGTACTACAGCGTGTCCAGCGCTTTCGAGCGGTCTCGTGTGGAAGTACAGCGCCACTTACAGTCCCGGCATATGTACTACAGCGTTTCCAGCGGTCTCGTGTGAACAGACACGTTAAATGAAATGAATGCATGTGAACGGAAGACTTTTTTGAAAACGCATACTGTGCATAAACGCAAACGTTCCCGTGTAAAGGCAGCCTAAAAGCAGACTTGATTTCTGACACCTCTGTAGTCATGTCCTGCCAGATCCTCTCACTCAGTGAGTCACAAAGGAGTGGGTAGAATTACTCCCACAGACACCCTCAGACTGTCCATGTAACACACAGGTGATCGCATAAACAATAAGGCTGTGGCTCAAGACATAAATGCAAAGTCTGTACCAAGAAAGCACATTTACAGAGAGAAAAGAATGATGGGAACAATAAAACAGGTCGACAAAGTGTGGTCAACTTACCTTAACATTATCTGACTTCATTTCATTTTCTCCATACAGGCCTTTCATAAAACCAGTGGACTTGATGACCTGAAAGTGGTGAGATATAAAAGTGTCAAGGCATTCATGCTTTTAAGAAAACTTTCTAGAGAATTATACACTTGGTCTTTACCTATAATAATTTTATAATTTTTGTGTGAAGAAAACTAAATTAAATAAGGATTTGTGATCATTATTGTTGACCAAATACCCTTTGAACACAAGATGTATTCTCATAGCCTTGCCTCTCTGTTAAACAGTCTCATCACGCATTATAAAAGTACGCAGTTATCACCTCATGTGTACACTACGTAGATGAAAACAAATGCTTAGGATTAGTAGAAGCTGACCTGTGTTTGTACCTGAGAGTGACAGCTGCTTGATAAAGAGATCACTTCACTCAACAAACTTAGAAAGGGTTTTAGATGTAGCTTGCTCAGATACTGTATGTGTACGTACACTTTTTGCAAGCAGATAGGAACAATCCAAGAACAGCAGTTTAAATGTATCTAATGACATACAATGACACGGTGATTAATTATAGCTCTGCGTGACCCTTAGTGTTATCAAACAGCGCAGCTGCAATAAGCTGCTCAGCATCCATGATCTCAACGTGACGGATTCAAATAACCAGACACATTTAGCCAACACAGTCGTATCTGGTTAGATAACTAATCGTGATAGTGCCTAGCAACAAGATGATGCCGTAGACATGGCTAGTGCAAACTAGCTAACCCACTATTAACTTTGTAGGCAACCTTACATTTGATTGCAAGTGAACGTTAGCAACTATTTCCTTAGTTTAGTGTGGACCTTAATGTTTAAGCTGCTTGGTAAATCTTTCATGTATAACGACAGAGAGATTGGTAGCTTCACAAAAAGTGTAAAGCTACTGCGAAGTTAATGTTAGCTAACTTTCTTGCTTAGCACAGTTCATGCTAACGCTGTATTAGCCTGCTAACCGGCTAGCTTGTATGTGTTTTGAAATGGCATACATTCAGTTGACAATAGCCTTTTCATATTTAACTGCAAAAGTGGCTCATGGTGCAGGTTTAACAAATGTTACCTCGCTAATCTTATCGTAACGATAGCATGTCAGTCTCACCTCACTGAAGATGTCGTGCAGGTATCGAAACGGCGGCTTGCTTAGCAGTTTCTCCGTGAGAGGCGGCTTCTTTATCACTTTGCCCAGCGTGTCCTGGGTCTTTTTAACCACCGCCGCATTCATGGCAGCGGTCGAAAGTACATATGAGAAGCTTGAATGCAGGGGAAACAGCGAAAATAAGTACGGAGTGTAAAAACCTGGTGGCTCTGTCGCCTGGTTGCTATGTCAATATTCTGCAATCCCGCAGTGCATCATTAATGAAGACTGCGCATGCTCGGAGGGTTACAGGTTGCTAAGCACTGCTTGTGTCCATAGCAACAGCTAACAATCTGCAACAAAGCTGCAGTGCAGCGCAGCACAGACAGACAGACAGACAGACAGACAGACAGATAATTAGATAATTAGAGAAATAATATTTAATAAACAAAGGGGGCTTCCTGAGGAAGGAAAGGCAAGGGTAAAAAAGCAACACTTGCAGTATTAACTCACTTTCATACTGACAATGTAAATAAAATAGGATGAGGATGAGAAAACATCTCTGTTTCTTGAAAGCTGAGAAGGCCTTTTTAAGATGGATGTCCTTTGAAAGCCATGAATAAATGACAATGTATATGTTCAGGGTCAGCAATCAGAGGAGATCAGTAGGGAAGGGATGAGAAATATTGGAATAATCCGAATCTGTTGTTAAGGCCAATAAATTGTGTAGGTCACATACGGGTAATTTCCACCTGTTGCATTTCATATACTGTACATACATAATGTAGGCTTAAAACAAGAACAATGAAGTTGAACACAATTGAATATATAAAAATCAAATTAACTCACAATGACAGAATCTTGTTAATGAAATTTGTCGAATGGGAAAAATAACTATGAGAATAAGAAACCAAGTATACAAGTATACAACACAAAACATCAATAATGGCCTTTTTCTATCAAATGTTTCATGTGGAACCTACTTGAGCAGGTCTCCCTTGAAAAAGAGATCAATGATCTCAATGGGATACAACCTGGTTTGAAATGAAATGAAAATATAGCTTCCTTATTTCCAGTATTACTTACTTATTTCTGACCGCATGTAAAAAGGTGGTGTTTGACAATGACCACCTCAGTATGAATGAATTCATCTAAGTTCTAGCCACAGCTCAAATAATGTGTCTGATTGAGTGGGTGGTTAGTCTTCTTTATTTATAGTACACAGCTTTGAAATACCTGTTTGGCGAGTTCAGTTAAAGGAGAAAGTGCACTACAAAAGAGAAGGCATATTGAAGTGGTGTTCACAGGTGCTTGTTGCTTCACGCTGTCAAGGTAAGACTCCGAATATATGTGAGAGACTGGAATGACCATTTCCCTTTAGACTACCAAAGTATTTTCTTAAAAAGCAATGGGCCTCAGGCATGATACTGACTAAAAAAAGGTTGTATATTTTTAAGTGACTGGTTAAATACTACTACTTGTGTTTTTTAAGTTGAATTTATTGTGATATGGTTAGGGTTAGGGTTAGGGTGATAAAATGTATCCGTTTTAGTTCAAACAAATACAAAGGCTTGGTCAGTCAGTAAATCAACAGTGTAAAAATACTTTGCCATTTTATTTACAATGAAGAAATATGATAAATATGAGAAGAACTGCAGCTCACAAACAACAGTATAACAGGTCGTCGCTGGAGATTTTAGAAACTGTGAAGAGGTTGTACAAATATATGATTTTACGTTTTGATTCTGAACTTTGAGTGCCAGCCTTGTCAAGCTGGTTTAGTGAGTTGACATTGCAAAGCCGAACAGCCAATATTTAAAGGAACATATAATTACATTTCATCTATTTTTTTCTTTCTTTCATTGCAGTTCTCTTAAGGACAGGAAGAGATGCTTCGTTTGGTCTTATTCGCTTTGTTCATTGGTCTCTGTGCCAGTGCTGGAGAACAGAAATACAGGAAAACGAAGACTGAGTCTTTAGCAAGAGGTGGGTGAACCTGCTTTGTTTTTACAGTGGTTGCTTCCTTTCCAATCATGGTTGAATGAATACAACAAATTAGTTAAGTATTAAGGCACATAAATAAAGTCCTGAATTCAAATTGTAGTTGTCATTAAAGGGGCCCTATATTATGCTCATTCTCAGCTTCATATTTGTATTCTAAGCCTCTACATGTTTACATGCATGCTTTAATGTTCAAAAAGGTCATACTGCCTGTGCTGCAGCACCCCTTTTCACCCTCTGTCTGAAACCAGAGCCCAGTCTGCTCTGATTGGTTAGCTGGCCGGCTCGTTGTGATTGGTCAACATCTTAGAGATGTCCCGCCCCTTAGCCTATCACAAATAATGTGTTTGAGCGCTAGCCAATAGAAGCGTAGGTGTTACATAGTGATGTTACGGAAGTAAACAAATGGAAATCTTTCAGGCAGGGGGGGATTGTGCGGGAGAGAAACAGGGAAGGGAAAACCCCAAAAGGCATAACAGGGCCCCTTTAAAGAGATTCAATATTGTAATAATTTAATGAATGATAGTCGTATGCAGCATGCATTCATCACTGTTTTTAACCTGCAGGATGGGGGGCAAATATTCGCTGGGTGAACAATTATGAAGAGGGTCTGTTCAATGCAGCTATGAGGTAAGACTCTGCACCTTGATAACATCCTTACATATCTGTTGACTCTGTTTGGATATGAGTTTTGGCAGTTAGAACAGAATGTAAACATATATGAGCAATGTGTACACTTTAATTTCTTAATGTGCATTGTCTTAATTACGCATAAACGTATTCCTACAGCTCCTAAAAATACTGATATATATATTTGTATATATATTGAAGATTCTTTGATATATTGAAGATTATTTGATATATTTTAAGAGTTTGATGTTCTTAAAAGTACTGTATGTTTCAATTGTTTAATACTTTTGTAAATACTGTACCAAATGTTATATGCAATCCATGACAGAACTTTATTTTCATCCTGATGCTCACACAAGCATTAAGAGGTGACCTTAAGTTGGGGATAAAATATTGTATAATGCAAAACTACATCTGATTATTGTATCATATCATCATCATCATCATTTTATTTATTCACATGTTTAATAAATAGTACAATCATAAGACATAATGGAGATATGTGAAATGGGACACCCCGATAAGCTGAAGCTTGATAATAGGTATTATTAACACATGCTATTTTTCTTATTAAATCTGGTATTAGGACTTTGGTTTCAGAGGGATTATGTTGCGTCACACTGCATCACACCCATCATTGTGCTTATTGTGTTGAGGAATGTGTTTATCTGTGATTTAACCCCCCCCCCCCCACACGCAGTGTGAAGCCTATGATGGTCATCCATCATCTTCTGAACTGCCCGCACAGTCAAGGTACTTCACTCACTCTGCTTTATAACATCTGAAAATATGGATGTAAAACTGCAAAGCATATCTGAACTGTCTTTTTAATGCCAGGTTTGGACTTGGTTTCACGGGGAACACAATGGGTGCATTCCTATGTACCTGCCAAGTAGACAATGCACACAGATTTGAGTCCTATCCATTAATCACGGAGCTGGTTTCCTGGGTGTAGCCTCAATGGAAGTCTCCACTGGTGTTTTCTTAACATATAAACAACAAAGACTACAGTACAGGGCAAAACCTGGCTTTTACTGTCCTCTGGTCTGAGGTACACATATCTTACAGCCTGCCTTTGAACGCCTGAACATACCAGTGCTCATCATATCTTACATTTGTAAATAATTATTGTGTAATCTCTGGTAAGAAAACTATCTTTAAGTCCAACCTGCAAAACTTGTTCCTGATTTGACTAACTGTCAAAAAGTACAAAAGGCCAGAAGTTTATTAACACAAACTGTGATAACTGACATTTGAATAACTGACATGACCACATGTACAATCATTGAGTGCATATGTACTCATTTTTTGACTTTTTATAGCAATGGCATGCATTTCTCGGGTGCAAATTAATTATTTTTATAAAGATGTATTGAATACTCATTCTAACTGAGGTCTAAAACTATATATTTTTAAATAGTTTTCCAAATGAATCCTTATCAGTGTTCCTTCCTTGATTGTGGCTTAATTAAAACATTATTAGAAATACCAATGTTCTGTAAGTGGGTCTTTAGGAATCCCATTCACCCAGTTTTAGCCTATGCAGTTTGAAAAGATACAATCAATTAAATAGATAAAAGGTTTGCCATCCAAATGTTTTTTACAGCACTGAAGAAGGCTTTTGCTGCTGATAAGACCATCCAGAAAATGGCCAAAGAGGATTTCATCATGCTCAACCTGCTGGTAAGTGCATAATACTTCAAATGACTGAAGAATAGCATCTAGAAATAAGTATCAGCAGATTACTTTATGCACACTTTCTTTGCAAGAAAAAACATAGTATTTACATCTTATTTTAACATTGGTTTCTTCTGCTTTATATCTTAATACTTTTAATGTTTTTTGGTAAAGCACTTTAAGTTAACTTAGATTGCGTATATATGTATTTTACAGGTAGAGACTGAGGACAAGAATTTGGCCCCTGATGGCTACTATGTTCCCAGGATCCTCTTTATTGGTAAAAACTGACATCATAATATACAATGTATTCATACATGTTAAGTCTAATTGGACCGTTATCTTAAATAATGAATGTTCTCTATGGTTTTAAATTAAATCTGTCTTCAAATAGCAACACTTACTTACAATGCTCTCCCTTTCTTAACTCTCTGGCATCATTCTAATGAGCTCAACACATCTCAACCCCAAAGAAAGTCACAGTGTATCGGATATTTTCATATTTTTTAGACACAAAAAATCACACAGTAGATTTTATGTCTAGCAGAAAAAGGATTTGGGTATAACGGATACTAATGAAAGGGAAAGGGATATGGGCTTACAGACTCAGTAGTTATGTATCCTAATGATCGTGTGGGAAGTGTCGGGTAAACTAGGAGTTCTAGATTCAGTTTTCCTCCAGAGATTTCACCACATGGCTTCTCACTGAAACTGACACGTGTCACCTGTATCACTTTATTTTCACTCTCACTGCAGATCCATCTCTGGCAGTGCGCACCAACATTGTAGGAAGGTACAAAAACCTCGCCTACGCCTACGAGCCTGGAGACATGAAAGTCTGTGAGTTACTGTCCCCTCTTTCTGGGGGGTGGGGGGAGGGCTGCACACCTCACCCGTCACTGTGAAGACAGGCTTAGCCCCTATTATGTATTAACATTATCTGTCCAAGTTTTC